CCAGAGAACTGGTTGCACTGAGAGATGTGGTGGGAACCAACCCCACCATTTTTGTTAGTGTCAATGCTATACTTGTTTTGTGACCCATTTCGTGTGGATGATGAGGTGCTCTGCTTGTGCCACACAGGACTGAGCCTGGCAGAAGTGAGCAGCTCTCTCAAAGCAGCAACCACAGAGTGACTTTCCTGACAGAGAAAAAAGCAACCATTTTAAGATACTCTTCTTCCTCACAGAGTTATTTACATCTGGCAAAATTAGAGGTCATTTCACAGGGTGACACAGAGGATGTGTCCAAGCCCAAGTGAAGCTGACTGCTGGGCCCCCCTGAGGCAGCTCGCAGTGCTCTGACTGTGTTTGAACCTTTGGGCTCTCTCACAGGGAAGACTACGGTGTGCTCAGGCAGCTCAGGTCTCTGAGTCAGAGCTTGGAGCACGAGCTTCCTGAGGAAAGCCAGAGATGGCAGCAGGACAAGTTCCCTGCTGATTCCAGTGTTCCGGTTTCCTCTTCTTGGCAGAACAGAATTTGATTTTTCTCACCACTATTATGGGCTGTGAAGAACAGCTCTTAAATTAGCCCTGAGGAGGTGGAAAGGTAGAAGTGAGCTCACCGCAGGGAGTTGGGTTTGACGCATGCACCAGGCACACATTCTACCTGACCCGACTGATCAGCTGTGCTGCATGCAAGTTTCTCTTTTTGGTTTGTTTTTGTTTTAATCAATTTCTGGCCACTGTGCCAAATGCTTGTCCTGCATCTTTCCAGCTGCTGCTGTGCAGTTAGTGGCAATCCTTGGCCAGATCCCAGCTCAGGTGGCACAGCTCCATTTTGGGAACACCCCATGGACCTCAAAGCCTGTATGAGGGCATGCAGCAGCCAGCACTTGCCAAATGTCTCCTGGGGAGCCAGACAGGGCTGATGAGCTGGGCCTGTGTGCAGACAAGGGAGTCTCTCCAGGGATAGACTGGGCCTTCCTCAGCACCCAGCACTGCAGAGCTTTGGTGTTGCTCCAGAGGGAGAGATGCCCTCTGGGGCGCTTCAGCCTTTGTGCAGAGCCACACAGCACAGCCACAGCAGCAAATCAGTGCTGGTTTTTGTTAATGAAATGAGAAACTGGGTTAAGTACCCCAGGCGATGCAATCCCAGGGGCTGCTGTGAGGCTGTCATTGCCAGAGAGGCTGTCAGCTGCAAAAGGGCAATGCTGCCTTGCAACAACAAACCTAACAGCACTATAAATAACTCCTTGTTACTAGAAAATAAATGGCAAGATTAAAAATTGTTTTTCTGCCCTAGTTTTCTTCCTTTGGGGCAGCAACAAGGCAATTTGGCTTTTTTCAGGGGCCAAAAGCAGCAAAGGGACTGGGCAACAGGCAGGGCGAGCATGTAGAGGAGGAAAGAGTTGCAGGAGCAATAGAAAGCTGGTGCTGGCTCCTGTTGGGTCCACTCAGGTGCCTACAGGGTGCACATGCTTCTTCCAGGTCAGAGATTAGGGCATGTGTATTTTATGCAATGGGAAAGTAGCTTCTAAAACCACTGTAGTGCACAATGCCTTGAAATTGACTGCTGTCACCACAGGTGTGTGCTGGTGAATATGTGTGACACGTATCTGCCTGGTAGCTGCTTACTGCACTAGCCCTGACCCCTGAAGGGAATACAGGGGTTTAGTGACTGGTTTGAGTCCAACTGAAGTGCCTTTCAGATGCATCAGAGCCCAGCTCCTGGCTACAGCAACACATTTTCTTGATTAAAAGTGCTGGAGCCTCTCATATTTTAATCTGTTTGTTGAACCTGACTTGCAGTATTTAATAGCTTTGGTTGTGGGTCACCATCTGTATTTGGTTTAATAAATGCTTAATGTTATCTGTTGTCCTCAAGGACAGTAACTGTGGATTTCTGCAATGAGTGACATTTTTGAAACTGCTTTTCTGAGCAGTGTTCCATCTGCCCTACATTAATTGTAGAATCGTAGATTTGGGATGTCTGTCTCCAGTGCAGAAATGTTATTGGACCAGCTGGTGAGTTTTTGGGCACAGCAATGGAGATGCATCGGGCACAATGAGAAGTGAAACAGCAGTTGAAAACAGAAAGCTGACACCAACAGAATTACCTTTTTTTCTTGCAAGTGTTGGGTGGAGGCTTCTATGGTTGGGTGGGAATACAGTTGCTTATGTTTGTAGAGAAGCCTCTTCTGCTTAAATGTTGAAGTGACAATACTTGCACATGTACATTAATTTCTGTTTGATTTTATCTCTAGCAGTTTGTGTTAAAAGGCTTTGGGGTATAGACAGACCAGCAGGCAATGCACCTCTCCAGCTTGTGAAATAATTCCACCACGGCTGGCTGCAGATGCTGATCTCACAGCAAATTAAAGGAAGGTCTTCCCCCTCCCTGTATTCCCTCACAGACAGTGTTATTTTGAACTGTCTGGCTGCTGGAAGCTTGACAAGATTTTCTTTTTATTTATTTTAAGTGTTGTGTGTCTGTCTAAAAGAGATTAGCGTTTTCCTTTGCTGTTCTTTCCAATGACAATGACATGCTGTGATTCTGCCTCATTCTCCTTGGTCAGTTCCAATCTGAAGGAATATCTAACTCTTCGTTTAAGCTTGAAATCTAGCTCCAAGTTGTGAAAGTACAAATGAGAATATCTTGGCTTGTTGCACCTTGTTGTGTTCACGTCACCACTGATTCCAGCTACATTGGGGCAAGGGCTGTGTAGTGGAAGGAGAGTTTGCCTGCTTAGGGCTGGCTATCCTCCTTCTGGTCTGTGGGCTGTGAATTCCCAGTGAGTCTGAGGATTTTCTTTACCACTCTTGTTGCTTTTGGAATGAAGACGAGATTTGGGGTTTCCAGGCAAAACCTTTAGCAGGAAATGGGTGGTGTCAGCACAAGCACTGTTGGGAAATCACATTCATTCCTGGGAAGTGGGGATAGTAGAAAAGGGAGAAAAGTCCCTAGAATCCCTAGGGCCAGAGGGTGCACTTGCATGCAAGTGAACTGCAGCATTTGGACAATAGTAGAGGAGTGGTGTAACAAGAGATATGGGGAAAAGGCAGAGGTCACGGAAGGAGAAGAAGAGGAGGGAAAGAAAGATGGTGAAATTAGGGATGCTGAAATGCAGCTAGGCAGAGGTGCCTCTGTAAGGGCCCTCCTGTGTTGCAGCTGTTTTTTTCATGCTAACCCCAGGGTCCCAGGTCCCTGAGTTCCTCGATTCTCATAAACCTTTTCCTTTCTTAAACTCTCGTTGCCAAAGATGAAACTGTTGCTGGCTGTGCATCTGTCCTGTTCTGTAATCAGAGGAAACTGGAACACAGAGGTGGTCTGTGCAGAGCTGGGATGATTTTGCTTTGCAGGGGTCTGATGAGATGCAATTCATTAATGCATGTCAAGTGCTTTTCTGAGCCTTGGATGAAGGTGCTGAAGAAGTGCACAGGCTTGGTGGTGGCTGGGCTATCTGCAGCGCCTTTGACTTGGCACTTCTTTCACTCTGCTCATCTCCAGGGACGGAGAGGCAAGTCAAGCAGGATATTAGAAAGTACTGCAAAATGGAATGTTAAGTTTGGCTTAATTAAGAAAGACTACATTGCTGGAATTACTAATTGCAAATTCCTCTGAGAATAATTTAATGGGAGATTGAGTTACTGCAAGGCCTTGGCCTGATCTGAATGGATGCCATTGTTCTAAGTGAGAGCGCTGAGGTTACACATGTATGTGTCTCAGCGTTAATCAGATCCTGGGTTTCATAATTACACAAATTAAATTCCTTGTTTCATTCAATTAGTGTGCTAAAGATGACTCGTGCTGCTGCTTGCAGCTCCAATGACGGAGCCTGATTACACACAGCATTAGCTCAGGTCATGGTGCATCCAGGGACCGGTGAGCAGAGTGCTGGGAGCTGTTCTACCACAACAGAGAATTTAAAGAAATTCCCACTTGGCTCATCACAGCTAAATGTGTTGGCCGGTGTGTGGCAGGGGCCTGTGGTCTCTTTTGGTCAGCTCTGGCTCAGAGTGTCTGTGGAGTGACATACCTGTGGTACCAGGATGGCATGCTCAGGCTGCCCCTTCAGCCACCTGTCTGCTGGTACATTGCAGAGCTCAGAGCTGCTGAGCATGCCAGACTCTCCTCTCCTTCCCTTATTGATAGCAGGGGAGCAACTTGAGAAAAACAGCCATGTAATTGGGTCCATGGTGATGTTAAGCAGCTAAGGTCAAGGGATGCACTGCTGGTTGCTTTTGGTCATGTTCTACATTCACCAAAAATCTGTGTTTTTCTTTGGACAATTTAGATACTAACTAGACTTCTTCCCATGGAAAATACTGGTTTCTAGGAAGAAATACATCATGAGCAAGGTAAAGGTACAGCAGGCACCTGACACATCCCAGCAAGAGGTTAGTGCTGAGCCACACACACTATACAGCCTGGTCCTTGGAGAGACACAGGCACATGGCATGGGGAAAATCTCTCCTTTAGTTGCTGGCAAAGAGATACTGTAGCCTCACTTAAGTTTTCTCTTGTGAGGTTTCCACTTCCTTTGTGGATTAGGGTTTCAACCATGTGATATGCGTTTAGCTTCTTCTGCCAATGCCACGTGCTTGGCGTGTGGGTGATGGCTCCAATATGTACTGCTGGTGGTGCAGATAAAGCTCGGCAAGGCAGGGTCAGAGCAGCAAGGATAAAGGGCCATCACCCTTCAGCAGAGATGTCTGGAGCCCCAGTCCTGTGATCAGCTTGAGGGGCAGCAGGAGGCACTGACCAGGGTGTTGGGGGCAGCAGGGCCCTTCCCTTTCTGTGTGCAACCTGTGCTGGAGACCTGGGGCTCTGTCTGCACTCAGTTCTTTCAGAAGAATATGTATACTCAGTGGCCAGGTAAAGGCATCAGGTTTTTGGCCTGTAGTAGTCTGAGAGTGAGAACGTGTAATTTATCTGTGGGTATTTTCTCCACATCCTTTCACCTAAACAACTTACCATAGCTATTCTAGAAAAGAATGAGGCAGAAAAGCAACCGGTAATATATCTGACTGTATTTCAAAGTTGCTGATTGTAAACAAACATCGTTGAAGAAATAAATTCACATGACAAGATATCAGAGTGATACTATAAATCCATTTTGTTATTGTTGCCACACTTCACATTTTTGGAACTCAGAATTTAGCTCATGGTGTACAAAACTTGTAAAAATTTATTGCAAGCGTGCCTTTGTGTAGAACAAATCCAGTGTCACAAAAGTAGTTCCCTGTCCCATGCAGAAACACAGCTGTGGATCGCTCTGTGAAGAGGTCACACACATGCATTTCCCCAAAAGACGTGGCTGTTAGAAAACTGCTCGGAGAAATAAAAAAGAAAAGAAAGCAGTTGCAGTGTATGCTTTACCTGTGGGATTTACATTTTCAACAGAAATGTGGAACTCTGCAACAGAATTGCAATCGCTGATGTAAGCGCAGCCCAATGGAGCTGTTTTGAAAGCGCTCTGACAGCTTTGTGTTTGGTGCAGTTGCCGCATTAAATGGAATGCCACTTTAACATTTTATACATAAACTAGAATGAGATGCTGATGGGGAGATTCCTTTTCCAGAATTCCCATCACTGCCATCTCTCCCATGGTACCCCCTCGGCTTCCCTTCCTCGCACTCCCTGCTCTGTGATTACCAAAGTGCACAGTGTAAGCAAAAGCATGGAGCGAAGCTAGCAGAGGAGTGGCTGTATTGAACATCAGCCTTTTCTTTTGGACTCAAGGCAGCAGGGGAAGGGGAGTGCACATGCTGACAGGTAAGTTAGAAGGGATCATCTGGCTCCTTTCTTCTGCATGCCCAGCCTCTTCTGTTCCCTCTGCCACTTCATTGCACCACTTAGCCACACCTGTGGCAAAAATCTTTGTTTCGCTGTCCCTGATCTCTCTTCAAAACACGGGGTAAAATTATTTTTAATTTCTGCACTGAAATGCCAGGCAAATATTTGGCTTATAAACAGAGGAAAAATCCAGGCTGCAAAAGTAAGTGTGAGACCTTCAATTTGGTTTCCATCAAATGAGTAACTTGGTTTCACAGAGAGATGCAAATAGTTCAGCACGTTTTGCACACACCTTGGCACGAATTAATTGAAGAAAAAGGACTACAGCATGACTTTGACACTGAGTGGGTTGAGGCTCTGGACAGATGAACCTAGTGTACTGGGCTCTTTTTCATTGTTTCCAGGCTTTTTTGGTAACTACTGAAATTGAGTGCTCTGTTTGAAATCCAGAGCATTCTGTAAATACTTGAAGCGTTTGCAGGCTTTTTGATTCTAATGAACAGAGGTGTATGGGCACTCATCTTGCCTCTCTTTGCTTATCCAATTGGATCCTGAATGTCCCAGCCCTACAGCATGATGCCATGCTCCTTTCCCACTAGGTTCTCCATCCAGATTCCCCAAGCATTCCAGAATTGTTACAGTTACATCAAATGAGCATTTTTGCAGAGTAATGTTTTCACGGATAGAATTTTTGCACTACACATTGTGTGGACCACTTTGACATCTAATGCTAGCAGTCGTTACTTCAGAAGAGTGATACAAAAGGGATTTACCACGTAAGGCCTTTCTGTGATACCTAATAGCTGCTTACCAGCCCGCTCAGTCTGGTAAGTGTGAAGGGTTTAAATAAAAGGGGAAAGCAAAAAAAAAAAGAGAAAAAGGAAAAAGAAAACCAAACCATTGATAACAAAAACATACCACAACCCCTTGGACAGCGCTAAGAGCTTTCACAGCCATTCCAATGGGAGCAGTGGGTAGCTGATGCCAATATCTCTTCGGCCCATATGAAACTTGGTGGGGCAGCACTGATGGGGCAAAACAGGAACACCTTCACAGTGACTGCAATTAGTAAAGGCTTCAGAAACAATACCCTGTTGCATCTGTGATTTTCAAAATATCAGGAAGGATCAGTGAAGTAATAATACAAAAGTAAATGGAAAGGTCAACTCTGTTGTTGTGACCTCTTCCAGACTGACCAGGAGCTGGTGGGATGATCAGCATGAGCTCCAAAGGCATTGTTAGCCAGGGAAGCTCTTCAGGGCTAAATTTTGGAAGAATGAGAATTTTTGTACAGAAGCGTGGATATTCTCAGCTGTTCCCCAACAGTGAGATGACCACAAAAGGGCCATTCCAGTTCGAGTTCATAATGCTTCTGGAAGGAAAGGTTGGTTTGGAAAGAGCCTTTACAAGAAGAAACATACACCAAGTAGCGCTGGCAATAGTTTACATCTAAGCAAGTGCTGAGCTCTGTGCAAAATAGCCTAGTTAATGAAGACCAAATACATAAATGTTTCAAAGCTGAAGTTTCTCACCTTCCAAAACATCACTAGCTTTTTCTTTTTTTTTTTTTTTTTGACACTTGCTTGTATTTCTCAACCAGACTGAGATGTATCCTTGTTTTACAGACAATCTCACACCAGTCACAGTAATCAGAAATTGCTGTGGCACATTCCACAGCAGGGATGGATGGAAGACTTCATACTTTCCTCAAGACAGCCTTAGTAATTATTTCTCTGAATTTTGCACTGATGACTAGTCTACAGCAGGGCTTTGGATTCTCTGTTTATATCCCTGCTCTGTGCTCCCCTGGCAGGCTGGGCTGCTCTGTTTTATTCAGCTTTCTCTTACCTTTAGCACAGCTTGGTTTTGACTCATATGGGCCTGTATGTGCAAAGAATCCATACTGTGCTCCCACAGCCCTTGCTGCAGAGCAGGATGACGTCCATCCTGCTCCCAGTTTTAGTTTGGAAAAGCACAACTGACAAAGAACAAAGTTGCTGAAAACACAGAACATGGACTTAATCAGCAAGAATGCAAGCCCCATTTTACAGTTTTATCATGCCTTTATCTCTGCTGTGCCTCACTGATTATGAAGGGGAAAGCTCCTATGTGAAAGGATAATGGTATCTGATGACTACCGCTGTTGTAAGAGCACTTTCCAAGAGGTAGACACACACAGCTATCAGTGCAGCATAAACCTCTGCTCATCACTGAAATCAGATGCAGGACTAGTGGATGCTAAGACATGCAAGACACAAAGCCAGTGGAAGGTTCTTTAACTACCCACAGCTCAAGGCAGTCTACTAAATACTAGAAGGAAAAAAAAAAAAACAACCCTTCAGCAAAAATAAAAAGCCACAGCCACAGAAGCACAGCTGAAGGTGACAAAAGGGCTTGGAGTTGCTCTCCTTCATGCCAGTCTGGAAATGGGTAAATGTATTTTTCTGAAGAAAGCAAAGTTGTACCTATTAGTGGCTCTGGGATGTCACTGTAAATGAAGAAGAGCTGGGGCCAGAGAAAAGAAATAATAAACAGAGAAGAGGCGTCTTTAAATTGTGCCCTAGTGCTGAGTGCACAAATGGGCTGAAGTAAAAAATGGCAGAGTTTCTGCAAGCCCTTGGAGCATTTTTCAGCTAAGACAACAGCAGTGGAAACCATTTCACAGTGGCTTCTGAGCTCTTGTCATATTGTTATATTATGCACTAGGAAAGAAATGCTTTCCATGAATGGACCATGGCAGGACAGACATTTCTTGAAAGAAGCACTGTGCATAGAAGATGGTCAGTATGTCTCACTGATGGTCTTGGTTCTCTGGAACAGAGTTTGCATACCATAGTTAAATCATTTTCAGAAGTACAGATGAATTAAAATTCAGTTCAGCAGGAGAGACATGAGTCTTTCTGATCCCATGTTTACTTCAGCTTCAAACTCTCATTCCCAGAAAAATGTACAGAAGTTTCTCTGTGACCTGGTTGGTATTTCTACTGTCTTTTAGCCACTGCGGAGCTTTAAGATCTCTTACCCAGATTGTCTCAAGGATACAAAACAAAACAAAACAAAAGATAGGAAAACTTCGTGTCATCTCACAAGCCATTGCACAGTTAACATACACGTGCACAGTACAACCAGCATCCTTGCACTACTTTGAGACTAAATCTTTTTTTTTTTTTTTTCCCCTTTACCTAGGGAGAAGCTTTAGTGTTACAGGCAGGTGGGAGAACCAAATCTGAGTCAGCCAATTTGCAGTAAAGGAAATGCTACAGAATCTGAGCTGCAGATTAATGAACTTTTGCTTTTTAATCTCATTCTATTTCTTCCTTGATTACTTTGCTGGGTTTTTTGTTTTGTTTTTGGTTTGGGTTTTTTTTGTTTGTTTGTTTGTTTGTTTTTTGGTGTTTTTTTTTAATAGTAACTTAGAGAAAGTGCAAGATGCTTTTTTGACAAGGAAAAATCATAACTTTCCTCAACCCTATCCACTCCAAGTCAACAGATGGAGAAGATAAGGTGGAACAGTTATCTGTGGATATAAACTATGCTTTGGTGGGTTCTGCTTGTTGGCTTTCAGAGCCAAAATTCAGGCATTTTGTACATACAAATATATATAAATATTTTTGCTTACTTATGGAATGTTTGAGCATGCTTAGGGCACCTGTTCAAAATGATGAAGGATGGTTAAGGCTAAGAAAATGAAATTCATTGCAAAGCTATAATTTTGTTTAAATTTTTCTCCTTTGCAAAAGGAGACTAAAGCATCTTCCCTGTAATAGTCAGCCACTGTGTAATCCCCCATCAACACCAATTCTAGGGAAAACTACTCAGGACCCAGTCCCTGAGGCAAAAAGCTAGGACCTCGTCATTTTAGCTCAAGTAATTCCCGTAATTAACAACATAAGTTAGTAGAAAAACTCAATGTTCCAAAACCTTGGACCTACTGACACCTGAAAAAGAAAAGGCATTTACTAAATGGGAAGGCATAGATCCAGGCCTTCAAGCATACACAGTAATGATGTAATAATTTGCAAAGGGCTCCAGCTCCAGCTGAAGGGGCTACAACACAGCTGGAGAGTGCTGTGCTTGCTCCTCAGACATGCAAAGCAGCTCCTAGGAAGCTCTGCAAGCCTTTCCATTGCTGCTGGGGGCGTCAGCATCTTGCAAATGCTCTGGTTTAGCAGGGGAATGGGCTCCCAGCAGCTACTGTTCATGCAACGTTTGACCTGCAGAGTTCCTGCCACACCTATCTTTACTAGCCTGACTCTGACTGCCATATAAACTTACAGGGCATAAGAAAGTTGTCACTAATCATCCTGTCACAATGAAAGCCAGCACTGCCTAAGCAGAGATCTCAGAACAATAACACCATTTGCCTTCAGGTATCTCTGGAGTTTCTTAAGAAATGGAAACTGACAGCTGGACTTTTGTCTCCCCCTCCACTTACGATATTTAGAAGACTGGTAAGACCCAGCCACACACACATTCAGTCTGCAGAAGGATCATCTCCATTCCCTGCTGGGACAAGGAGATTTGAATTCATCTTCAGGGCCCTCCACAGCCCAGCACTGCCAAGGACTTACAGTGGTACAAACCCTCCCATTCCTCTTGAGGCTCTGAGACCTCCAGTGCACATGGTTGTAACCTTTGCTATTCTCTTTTCCAGGATGGAGACGCTGTGGACTGAGAAAATGAGCACCTAAGAAACCTGTAGGTTGTCACTCATCTTGTGGCTGGCAGGCAGAGCAGGACAGGTGGGGCAGTCTCCAGGTGGTACTGCAAGCAGAACCACTGAAGTGTTGGCTGTCCCTTTACTTTCCCTGCAACCAGGTGAGATCTGCCTAAGCTTACCCCAAAAACCAAAACGTTGGTGGAAACAGACAGCTGTCAGTGCAAGGATTCTCTCTGAGCCAGAGAGTAATTTACCAGCCCCTGCTGATTTACACAATACGTATTTGCAGTGCCTTGGCATATCTGATGGTCATAGCAATGGAATTCAGGCAGTTCTGAAATTCATGTTCACGACCCTTCATATAAACTAGTGAGGTTTACATTGATCTCTCAATCAATCAATCACTCCATCACTCTTGAATCAGCCCAAGTTGTTCTTTGATAAAATTTCTCAGGAAATGCTAAGCTTGGGGACCAAAAATCAGTTGGTCCTTCTAGCAACATGGTTTATGCCTTGTAAGTTAATACAACTCTATTTTCATCACTGTTAACCTTTAGAATACAGACGGTTTTTTGGTGATTGAGTTGTGGACTGAAATCAATAATGCGTGGAGGGCAGGGCAGTATTTCACCTCCATATTCTCTCCTGGTTCAACCATACTTCCCTCGCTCTCCACTGCTTCCTAAAGCTTTAATGCCTTCAGATTCCACCAATGCCAAATTGTAGTTGCTCAGCCACAGGCCCCAGCACATGACAATGCTTGTCCTCTACAGTGTGACTCAGGTGAACTCTTTAGGCTTGCTCTGTTCTAGTGATGCTTAACTTCTGGCTGTAACTGGACTTCTTTCTTTTTGCAAAACACAATGCTATGTTATTTTGATAAACAAGTAATCTGCTTAATTACAGCTACTGCAACAAACCCTGTGTTCTAGTGAGAAGAATTCCTACAGAACATCCTGCAGTGATAATGTGAAACACACAGCTATTAGTGAATTATTTTCTTCCTGCCAACTGTGTGCCAAGTGAAGTTCCAAACTGGACTGAGAAGTCTTGACGCTTATAAAAGGAAATTAAACAAACTGTTTTTGTTATCCACTTAACAGTCCGTTATGTTAGACTTTAAAGCAACATACAAGATGGCTGAAATCAAGAAAAAATATGATTGTTAGGTTCTTATTTCTGATCTGTATACCAACAGATTTTAACTGCCATGGCAGTTAAGATGTGAGGCAGTATTAATCCACTCACTGTTCATGTATAAAATGTTTCATCTTGGTTTAAAAAAAAAAAAAAATCAGTGTCATGCTTTTCCATTTTAAATTTACTCATGTATTTGGTTTCTTCTAATCTTGCTGTGATCTACAGGGGATCAAATTGCCTTATGCTTTAAAAAGAAAAAAAGAAAGAAAAAAGTCTTAATCAGTTCTCAGTTCCTGGCTGCCTGCTTTAAAGGTTTTATTAGTCAATATGCCTATTTGGGGTTTGTGTCTTGGAACTGCTTCTTCTAGCACACTGTGAGGACAGCAATGGTTCCTACAAGGTGGTTGGCACTCTCAACCACAGTCCATGGTACAGACTTACACTACTTGTCCTAGAATTGAATAACTCCAAATAAGGTATAGAGTTCTACGCAATGCCCACCTGGGCCTGCTGAGCTATCTCAGCTTGTGGAAAGCACTGAGCCCAAGCATGACTTTACAAGATGACCCTGTTTAATGAACGGCATTGAGAGACAACTAATTTAAGTCCATTTCCAGTGTACAGATACCCACAGGGCATTCACATATGCAATTTTGTGTCAGCGTTTCTTGTGGCACTTTCTGCAGAACATGTTTACATCCAGCTGCTGCTAGGAACAAAGTTTCCACCTCTCTAGTGGCATCACTTGGTGTTTTTGGATAAGGACAGCACTGGTGGCATCAGAAGTTCCTTGCTTTGCTGTTGCAGGTGTGGTATTTTCTTCTGCTTACCTTCCACCTCCTGCCTATGCCTCCAAGAACGTTACATCAATGGGAAGGTGAGATGTCTTCCAAGCCCAGAAGCTCCTTTACAAGTCTTTCACCAAACTGTGCACGGCTATACCTCGTCACATGGTAGGCCTCTGACATCTTGTAGAGGATGTAGGCATTGTTTATAGCAATGCTGATGGCAAACCAGAATACTTGCTGCCAGGTCTTGTTTGGTTTGTGAGAAATAAAATACCTACAAAGCCAAGAGAAAAGGCAACAAACAAACAAATAAACAAACAGTATTCAGCCATCACTTTCATCTGGAAGGCAAGAAATGACCCTAGAAGAAGATTATGCAAAAGGGAAGCAGAACCAGTACTTACTGCCAAGTGCAAGTATGATCTTCAAGAATTCCGTACTTTGCATTTGAAATCATTTACAGTTAGTTGCCTGTTTACTTTTGGAAATTTCTAGCAGTGTCCTCGTTTCAGGAGCCAAAACCTCAGCAGCATTCACCTCTGCACATAGCATCATAAAAACCTGATGCTATACTCCTAGAGCTTGCCTGTGACAAACACCCAAATGCTGGGAGCCATTGGTCTGAATCCCTTCAGACTGTAACTAAAATAAAAGATTCAGGCCCATTAGGCTACAGTTTAGGGAATACTGCTGATGCCTCTCGCAGTTATTTCAACTGTAAGAGAAAAATTATTTCTGCTGTTGTCAACAGCATGTGGGAGGATATGGGGGCAGAAACAGAGCATACAGTGCTGGTATGCAGAGCACCTCCTCTCCATAGGGCAGAAGAACTAGGACAGACTGACCACCTTATATTTAGGTTCTGACTAATTCTAGGATTACCAGAATATTCTCTTCAATGATTTTAGTAATCATTTAAATCTACTACCTAATCTCTTTTCACATTGCTTTCCACATACCCAATTCTTGCGACTTTGCTCAGATTAATTTAGAAAATCTCTGCTGCTTTTTCTCCTCAGTTTTCAGCTCATGAAATCATCTGCATCTCACTGCTACACCCACAGCCAAGCTTCCCCACTGCTGTTATACTTGTCTCTGTTTCTCCATTACATTAAGAGCTAGCAATGAGGACATCAAACGGAACCAAGGAGCCCAAATATCTATATTCTGTTCTCACAATCCACCTAGATTGGCTCTGTATTCGCAGCTGAGCATCTTCAGGCTCAAGGTGGCTCAAATAGCACCAAGACAGATCATCACCACCTGCTGATAGGAGTGGAGACTGAGCTACCCTGAGAGACTTGGAGACCTTTGCTGAATTCTCAACCTAGCCTTGAATTTGATGTGGCCAAGAATAACATCTGCCTCTTGGCTCATCTTTCCAACTCCTCTTACAAGTCATTTTCAAGATGCTAAGAACATGAACACGTAATTTTCTTTTTTGGATTGGTAGGTAGGTAGATAGAGCCAAAGCGAGAATGGCAGGTCTTTGAGATTATTCAAAAGGTGAAAGGAAGCAGTAAAAAATGCAATGTGCTTAATGATTAGTGCTCATTCATCTCTATACTCCTGCAGAGATTCTCTACAGTGCGTCTAGCAGTGCAGCTCTCACCACTGTGCAGAGCCAGATTCTGATCTTTGATTAGAACAAGAGTTTGGACAGAAATGAATTAAGTGAAAGCAGGACTGGGCTCACAGCTGCAGTTCATGGAGAAGCAATGAAAGAAAGAAACTCCCTCACCCCCAACCCCTTCTCACTTACTTGCTGTATTTGTCGTCGTATTTGCAGATATAGCTAAGGTGAGCAGCAAATGCTTCAACCGCCAAGGGGCATGGAATTTCTCCGCTTTTTCTCTTAATTATAACTCCTGCATCAATTAGAAATATAACAGTTTTAAATCCACACAGTAGGTGTAGCCATTGAAAGATACAGTTTACATACACTGAGCATTACAAAATAAATTTTTGCAAGTTTCTGTCCAAAACTGGGACGCGGCCTCTCTGTTACCCGGAATGGAGATGCTAATTTGACATTTTTTTTCATTGATAGTACACTGAACAAGGGAAAAAGGAAGATAAATCAATATTTAGTTGGAGGTGAAAAGGTGTTACGGAGACAAATGTTCTCACCATGTTTCAGGCAGAAAAACCACTACCCTAGTCCTACAGTGGCCCCCTACCAATAGCGTATTAGTTTCTCTTCTGCTAGTTCACAGTGAGTTGCGGTCAAATCTAGAGCTGTAACTTGATATTTCCTGCTTTGAGTTCTAATAGTCCTAAACAAGTCCCCTGAAATGAGATCCCTTCCTCATATCTCCCCTGAAGAACAAAAGCAACAGGACTTCCACTCCAGTGGGTGCTACTTGGCAAAAACAAAAAAATAACCTAACAACAACAAAAAGAAGAGTAGCCTCAGTTTGTTTGGTGTGTCTTTCACTGGCTTCTTCCAACACTACCGTAGTATTTATGAGCCCAATGCTCTTCCAAGAAACTGCCCCAGCTCTTTCCTTTGTTACTCCAGTCTTCCATATCCTTCCCATTCAGCAAGGGTGGCTGTCTGTAGAAGGGAAGGATGAATGAAATAAATCTGTAGTACCTTACTGAGTCTGTTCCCTCATTTCCTCATTTTTGACTTCATATTCCTTCAGCATTTGATTGTCAGGTCTACACGGTATGGACCATCTCTTGCTCCACGGCTACAGATTACTGTCTAGGGATGATCCCCTGCTCCCTGCTGGGCACAAGTGTTTTTCGGTACAGATGTGATCCTGGGCTTCCTCACTTCTTCAACCTTCAAACTCCCATTTCCTTCCTTCTGCCAAGTCTTCTACAGTCATCCCTAAAATGCTCCTCACGTTTTGACTGCAGACTTCACCATTTCATTCCTTCGGCTGGAAGTCTCATTCCATCCATTATCTCTGTCAAGCTCCCTGTGCTGTCCTAGCTGGCAGGCTCTATTTTGAAGCAAGACTTGTGACACATACTAAATGTCATGTTACTGCTGAGCCACGCAGCAATTTATTTGGGGTTTTTAAATGCTGATTTTTCATGAGTCAAGAACAATGTCACCTTTAAAACGTTCAACACTCACCTCTTCCCCTCCAGAACAGAGTGCAAATGTTCCCTCTCTTCTCCCCCTCATCTTCCCTTGGAGAATTTATATTTCCTTTGCAATTTGCTTTGTATTCACTTTCCTGAACAATGCATTGTGATGTCAACTATGTGGGCACCACACACTCCCTCTCACTTTCTATTGTATTCTGTGCAGTGTTCCTCTGTACTGAGAATATTACATAGCTTCATATGCACATTATCCTTACGGCCTTCTCTAGGCTTATTCCATAGCTACAAGGCAACCCCTCGGAGCTGGGTCATTCATAGCTGCAGGTCTCTGTGGCAGGAAGCCCCAAGCAAGCTGACTCACCGGCACCTCAGATGAGTTATTTCCCCTCCTGGTCCTTCCCCAGCATCACTGTGCTCAGTCCTTGGCAGCCTTCCAGGGGAGAACACCGCCTGCGCTGCAGCCTGCGCCTGCCTTCTCCTGCCTGCCTGCCGCTCTGGTGCAGGCTGCTGGCATCAGCTTTAGGTTTGGATTGTTTCACGTTCCAAGTGCTATATGGCTTTTGATCTGGATGTAAATTTGTTACAGTTCTTTATCAGAGCTGCAGACAGGCAGCTTGGCACAAGGACTAATGTTCAAGGGCTTGCCTTCATTCCATCCTAAGTCTCACCATACTTGGACACAACCCCATGATTTCATCTCAGAAAGAACATGTGTAAATTTAAAGTTATAATCCTAGAGCTTCCCTGTCCTGAAACATATTTTTTAACATTCCGCATCTTACCCCAGACTTTCCATTTTTGCAATTAGAATTTTTTTCAGGAAACAAAGATGTCAGCAGGCATTCCTCACTCCAGCTCCTCCAGGACTAAGAACCACACTGGGGCTTGCTTATCAAAGCAGTGTACACAAAAGCAATGCTTCCACATCTCCCATCTTTTTTTTGGTTCCCGCTGTACAATCTTCAAGGCAGGGTGGGCAGAAAAGGCATGGACAGCAAAGAGAAGCTAATGAGAGCTTCCCAGGGGACTGCAGCATTTGATACTGGCTGTGTCAGTAGGATGTTATTAGCAGCTGGCTCCTGATCATGCTTTGTTGTTGTCATTACCACTGTCTCCTCTCCAACTGCCTCTCCATGCTCCCCTTGTCTCCCTTTAGCTTTCTATCTAGTCCGAACTCCTAAGTGTTAAACCCTACATCAACCTTTTACCACCACCAGTCACTGGTGAGACCGTGTCACCTGCAGCTTTTTGGTCCTTGTTCTCTGCATGTGTAGCTCAAACGTCATTTTTATCATTAGCTAATGTCTAATATATATATATAGTTTCTAAGTAGAGCTGGCATCTACGAAAGCTCTTCTCAGAAAGAAGCTGCTTCTCCAAAGGATCTTGGGTTCAATAAGTTTTTGCTTAAACATAATACGCTCAAAAGAAAGCAGCCCAGCCCCCCTAATTGCAAAGAAGCTGACATTTCCAGCTCTACATGCTGCCAAAGCCATGGGATTTTCACAGTCTCCAGCAGGCTGGGAACACTACACAACACCAGGGACCCTGAGGTTCCCTATTCCTTCTGTAGACCAGAAATCCCAGGATTCCCTGAGTTCCTGATCATCCTGCTGTGTGCAAGAGAGGTTGCTGCCTTCTCTGTTTTGCTTTGTTTAAAAATAAAAAAATAAAAAAGTAGAGAAGATTTTTGTTGTTTCTAGAACACAGCCCTGGAGATGTGTGGAAAGCCGGTTCCAGATCTTGAATGGAAAACAAAATGTGGCCATGTCACCCGGACAGGAAGGTTTGGACCAGCATATCACCTGGTTTATATTAAGGATAACTTTTTACTCTCTGGAAATTGCTTTTGACTTCTGCAGTACTGACACAAAAGAAAATTAAACTCAAGTTAAAACTTCAGGGAAATTAAGAAAACACTGAATTTTGTTCTAGGCAGAAAATTTGTACTTCACAGCAGACTAAAGAGGACTTTTTTTTTTTTTTTTTGCAAAACTAAAGGAATAAGACTCATCTTTTAGCATCCAAGATGATGTATTACGACATACTGCTTCAAAACATCTATAATAAATAATGTGCTGCATCTAAGAATAGCACTCATAGATCAACGGTGACAAGAGTACTGCCCTCCAGTGCCTCTGGCTTGGTGGGATTTGCCCTCCAAGTATATGCAAGGTTTACCTTCCCTACTTTCCTTTAAATTGCAATACATAGCTCACTATTAGCTACACCTGCCTCTGTTCTCACTCTAGGTTTTGCTTTGTCCATCTTATCTTCTATGTTTTTATGTTTTGTTTTCATGGCCTCTCTACTCTCACTAACGTTTATGCTCAATGTAGAAATCCACAATTTACTGTCAAGTAATCCCACTGGCTCCAGTCTCTGACTATTCCACGTAGGTTTCAGTCCCATTTACTCCTTACTCCTCTCCCACTTAACACACTTATTCAGCAGGTCTGTGCTTCAGGATTGCCTCAAGGAACACAAATTTCTTCCTCCTCCATGTTTACATCATTTAGAGGAGACTTTGGTGGTCAAGTTGCCTTCAACCACTCTTGCTGCACTGACTTCAGAGATGCCAAATTAGCGGCAAGCAATCTGGTCTCTTACCCTCCTGCTGAACCTCCATCTGTTCTCAGACCTTCACTGGAGACTCTTTTCTCCCCAGCACAGCTCTGAAAAAACCTCTCAGTTTTCCGCTCTGATTCACCCTGAACTCTCTTGGCTGTCCCAGCAGGCATTTGGTGAGCACTGTGAGGTCTTATCCAACACATGCACAAGTCCTAACCAAAGAACCTTAAACCACTGGGAGGGCCACCATCAACTTCAGCCTCTCATGGCCCCTCTCTGAAAGGGGCAATTAGCTCTCCCTGTCACCAAAGCCCACCTACTGCATAGGTCGTGGCAGAGACGATGGTGGGGCTCAGAACGTGAGTCTCCCTGATGCCTGTGAATTGGTGGCTTTACACTTAGTGGTTTGTCTCAGACAGTTACACGTAATTCTGAGTAATAAAATGAAGATAAACTGAAGCAACATTTCCACTGATGCAGATTTTCAAAGAGTTGTCATGTTGTATCATATAGTTTCTAAGTTAAAATATTTATATATTTTTGAAATGGAAAAGATTTTAGTCATCAAGAAACTTCTGGCCATCATTTGAACTATTCAAGTTATCTGTTTTCATTTCTTTTCATCAACTGCCAAAACCAGTTTAATGTAACAGGAAGCCTTAATTTTCTTCTCGCAAAAATACATTTGTTTGTGACTGTGTTTTTACTGGATAAAATAAATTAATTGTAGGACCTGCTCTGAGTTTTAAGTGTATAATGTCATTCATTATTTTTTCTGCAGCAGCAATCCCACAAGATGTTTTGCAAATGTGACTAGTATAGCGTCATACAACAACACTCCCCTTCTCTGACCACCAGCAGAGATATTATCTTTATACCTAAAAGGTACAGTCTTTACCAGTACAGGCAAAGGCTGCTGCATTAGCAAAAGGCTTTTTTAACCTTTGAATAGGAAAATATAATAGCTGTAAGAAGACACAAAGGGAAGTCATCACTACTGCAATCATTTCTCTAGGATATTATGATCAAGCTCTTTGTTCAGGCTTATAATCAAACTCCATGACTCATCTTGCCTTGTCACTTAAAGCATGTGCACTTTCCAGACGAGCAGCAGGAATACTGCTTACCTTGTTGAACCGGTGAATAGGCGTTAGTCAGAAAACGGAAGTGCCCTTTGTTGTACCAGCAGATCAAGGACATGTTTCCCTTCATTCTTATTCTGTATTGTCCTCTGGACTGGGGAGTGTCAGGGTTGTTCAGCATGGATGGAGGTAGGCCTGTACAGTCACTCTTCCTGGCGCTCAGCAACCCACAGCAGTAAATTTCTGCATGTGAAAAAAGCACTCATTATCAGCAAAACATCACATGGACCCAAAAAGCAGGAGCAACGGAGCAAGTCCAACTGACCTGACTAAAAAACAGCTTGTCCTACAATGCTATAGTCCAACAAATACATCAGCCAATTGGCTTCTGCCTGCAGTACCTAACATTTGTGTCCATTCTGAATGGCTCTGGAAAATGAGACAAGTGCAGAAAGCCCGCTTTTAAGATGGAATGTACTGACATTTCCTGCACAGACACAGTGCAGTGACAAGGAGAAGAATGCAGGGTGTCTTCTCAATAATGACATCTATAACCCATGTAATATTCCTCACCAGGTTTTAAATTGGACTGAAAAATACAAGCAGTGATATGTATTACGGAACAAATCAGAATTTATGATCCAAGAGACTCTTTCATGTTTAACTGAGAGAATAAATTGCGGAGGAAGCAAGGAGGGAAAGAAAGCTGTAACATCTTCACTGTTAACTGAAATCTCATACGTTGCTCCTATTATACCTTTCATAATATACACAGTTGATAAATCTGCTGCTTCACTGTGCCATCCAGTTCTTGTTCTTTATCTTGGCATTTCTTGCACATGGGTAATCTAGTTTATTAAAGAAATCATGGATAAGCATTTAAGAACTACTGAAACCATGGGCCAGTTAAAAAAAAATGCACGCTCTAAATGATGGAGAAAATGGAAACACAAAGTTTCATGAGAGCAGATTTTAGGGAAAGGAGACAAAAGCCCTGTGGTAGGTTTTCTTTGGTTGGTCATCAGGTTCACACCAAGTCACAATCTCACTCTCCTCCTCAGCAGGAGAGGGAGAGAACATACAATGGACAAGCTCATGAGTTGAGATAAGCACAGGTAGGTCATTCATCAGTTACTGTCACAGGCAAAATGAACTTAGCCTGGGGAAGATTAATCTGACAACTGATAACAGAGTAGGGTTGTGAGAACTAAAACCAAATGATATGCTCCCCTCACAGCCCTTTATTCCCAGGCTCATCTTAGCTCCTATTTCTCCTCCTGAACAACATCCAATGCCACAAAGTACATCTCAGTGCAGCCAGGTAGGAATAGACAAGACTTTGAAACTAAATTAATGATGAAAATGCTTGAACTTCTCACTAGGTCATGAAATAATAATGGTCTGCTTTCAAGGAGAAGGAGATCTTCTTGAGCAAGTTAATTAAACTCGAGGAAATCCTGGATAGAAATTTCTTCAGTGTCCCTAGGCTTTGCTTTAATCCACCTGCACGGAAAAAATGGATGGGCATGGAAGTAGGTGACATCTGTGTACATCATTCATATGGCAGCTGAAGTCTGCAGTAGTCTGAAGCTAATATGTCAGTTAACACCATTTAATCAATTTTTTCATCGTGCTTAATTTTCCACAATGGATAATTGGATATCCTTAAAGGGGAAATGCTATGACAGATTACAGTTTCTGGATTCCAAAGAGCATTACTGCATTCTTGGATTTCCACTCACATGACTCTTCTGCTTCTGTCTGTCTGCCTGTAACAATGCAAGTTCTTGAGGGCAAGTACAGCCTTTGCCCTTGGTTCATATAGAGCCTGGCATTCTAAGCATACTCAGCAGCTAGGATTCACAAACATTAATGGAATACTGATACAGTAATAGCAAATACTCAAGGATTCATCTAGTTTTTGTGGGCACATCTATAAGGATCTAAGACTTTTCCATCAGAAACATAAGAGACTCACGTCAGAAGAAGGTCAACCAACACAGCACTGGAGCTTATTCAGAAAGAGGAAGGCACTTGATTGGTTATTTCTAAGGAAAGAAATCAATCCTTGGAAATCTATAATTTCCCTCTACAAAAGAGAAGAAAAGCCTGATGGCAACAGGCCTAGAATCAATACAGGAGGAATTGCACCTGCTTTTTTTTTTTTTTTTTTTTTTTTTAAATATCTTGCTTTAAGGTACACAAATACTGTAGAGGTCATGGAGGTCATGTTCCTGCAAACATAGGTTTAGCATATTAAATTTTTAAAAAGCTTTCTTCTAGCCAATAGTAAGACTTTCCTGCTCTAATAACACACGAGCCTGAGAACTTTCCTGAGCTGCCTAAAGTTTATGACTCACTGAAGGGTGATACTAACTCTCTCCAGGAGACTGCAGCAGTATAAAACCAAGCCAATAACTACATTATTGCGCTAGAGCTTCAAAATAGTAACAGACAACTCTGAAATCCCATAATAATTAATTGCAGCTTTCCCTTCAGCTCAGGCGGTAAGCCTGGAGAAAGCCTTCAGCAGATATTTCAATCCTCACACAGAATAATGGGAACCATTTCCTGTCTCAGAGGCACACAGCATAACCTCCCTGCTACACAGCACAGAAAGGCTCAGTCAGTACTTCTGAGATATACTGGTGTCTCTCATCATGGATGACACCCTTAATCTGCAGAATTTTTAAAAAACACCCAGTTACTATAGCAATGGAAGCAGTAAAAATTAAGCCCATCTGGATCAATGAAGTTTTTGCATGTAATTAAGTCTAAATCACAACAGGTGTTTGCTGCGTGCACAGGAGACAAGGAGATAGGCTCCCCACCAGTCTTAAACAGTAACTGTATAGAAATGCAAGCACCTAAGCTGGTATAGGCTATTAAAGCAAAAAGAGAAAGTGTGGCAGAGTGACCCAGGTTCATTCCCGAGGTCTCCAGGCCAGAGAGAGCTTGCTTGGAAGCCTATTCAGTGCTGCAAATGATACCATTTGCAGAAGTATCCAGGCTAAAGTCAGTTCAGACAGAAGTACACATTTTTCAACCATATATCCTGCATGCAACACTGGGTCATGTTAGAGCCAGGGCAACTCAGGGGCCTGTTGGAACAAGGAGATGTGAGCTTGCTTAAATCCATGTGCTTGGTGTTACAAACACCAAGGACCCTGCAACAATTCTGTGAGCACCATGGACATCCAGCTGTCTGCTCCTGCAGCATGAGTCCAAGTGCTCTGCAGTACAGAGCCAGCTGCTCCTGCTGGTTTAGAAAGCACAACAGGGATTTTTAGGGTTCATATCCTCAAGGGAAACATAAGGCTTCAGGATGTGCTGTCCTCTGTAGGGAACAACACTTTTGCTTTGAGGAGTGAAAAGGAATATGTGCTATGAATGACTGTCACAGCAAATAACAGCAGCTGTCTGCTCAAAGAACAGAGAATTTGGGGCATTTCAGTGCAGGTTTCCAGTTCTATTCAGAAGCCAGAAAAAGAAATGTTTTGAATGTTCCTTGAAAAAGAAAACGAATCTATTCAGGTTTTAGATTTTGAAATAGACCAAAGTTCCCAGTCTTATTTTTTGAAGTTTTCTCATCTCTTGGTATCTCCAAAGACCTTCGAATTACATTCATTGATATCCCTTTATATTACTTGATGCGTATTCTTACTGTTGTACAGCAAAGGTGCTACATAGCAGGCTTTCTAAAAAGAACATCGTGATTTTTGCAGGAATGAATGTGGGGCATAGGGAAAACTAATGGCATTTACAGTTCCACAAAAGTCTTAATAGGATCGTAGGACCCAACAGATTATAGGATAATTCAGGTTGGAAGGCAACTTAGGAGGCCTCCAGTCCAAACCCCTGCTGAAAGCAGAGTGAGCTCTGAGGGCAGACAGGACTGCTTTATCTTGTTTGGGATTGAAAACTTCCAAGGATGGAGACTGTAACTCCTCTCCAGGCAGCCTGCTTCACTGTCCTCAGAAAATCCTCAAATCTAATCTGAGCTAATTCTTTCGTTCCGCTTACGTCTTGTATCTCTCATCTTTTTATAATGAACTAGTGAAGAACTGGCTCCATCCTCCCGATAACCTCCCCAGGGTATGGGAAGGGTGTTTTTTGGGTCCTTCCCAAAGCCTTCCCTTCTCTGGGCTGAGCAAGCACAATCCCCTTCTTGGAGTGGAACATGTGGTCCAGCATTCATCAGCTTGGTGGCTGAGTCCAGACTTCTCTGTCTGCCTCTCTCCAAATGTACAGCCAATGCAGCAGGATCCCAACAGGTGCTGGCAACACATTTCTTGTTCTGCAGTACAGTCAGTACTCTACTTCTCCTCCAGAACTCCTACTGATTCTACCAGCGCTTGGCATCTGATCTCTCATAGTTTATCACAGTCCTTCCACTTCAACAACACTACCAAACCTGCGAGTGAACACCTAGTATCCCATGGTAATCACAAACAATCCCACATCCTTGTTAAACAGACACACTCTCGTTATATAAAGAATGTCACACTCATTGTGACCTTCTTTATATAAAAAGTACAAGCAGTGGATTGGCGATAGGTGCCTGGGAAGAATCTAGGGATCCTGTCCAAATGTGCAGGGATGGGGTCAGGAAAGCTAACATGCAGATGAAATCTGCTCCATGGAGCTAGATGACATGCATCCAAGGGTTCTGAAGGAACTCGCTTATGTGGTCACCAAAGCACTTTCCATCATATTTGCAAAATCACGGTGGTCAGGCAAAGTCCCTGGTGACTGGAAAAAGGGAAACATCACTCCCATTTTTAAGAAAAGGAGAAAGGATGACCTGGGGAACTATAGGCCAGTTACACTCACCTCTGTGCCTGGAAAGATCATAAGTGGATCCTCCTAGAAGAGATGTTAAGGCATATGCAAGATGTGGAGAAGATCCGAGACAGCCAGCATGCCTTTACCAAGGGCAAATCATGCCTCACCAATCTGGTGGCCTTCTATGAAGAAGTGATGGCACAGGTGAACAAAGGGAAAGGCAACTGATGTCATCTACCTGCACTTCTGCAAGGCCTTTGACATGGTCACCCTCATCACATCCTTCTCTCTAAATTGTAGAGATATATGAATTTGAAGCCTGGGCTGCTAGGTGGATAAAGAATTGGTTGGACTGTCACAGCCAGAGGGTTGTTGTCAATAGCTCTACGCCCATGTGGAGGCCAGTCACAAATGGTGTCTCCCAACGGTCCATCTTGGGACCAGTGGTCTGCAACATCTTTATCAATAACACAGACAGAGGGATTTAGTGAACCCTCAGCATGTTTGCTGCTGAAACCAAGGTGAGTAGTGCAGTTGGCACAATAGAAGGGAGGGACAGCAACCAGTGGGACCTGGACACATTTGAAAAGTGGGCACATGAGAATCTAATAAGGTTTAACAAAGCAAGTACAAGGTGCTGCATTCGGGTTGAAGCAAGTACGGACTGGAAGAAGAACTCAAAGAGAGCAGCCCTGTGGAGAAGGACTTGGTCCTCACAGATGAAAAGCCAGGGATGAGCCAGCAGTGTATGCTTGCAGCCCAGAAGGCCAACTGTATCCAGGGCTGCATCAAAAGAGAGGGGACCAGAAGGGCAAGGAAGGGGATTTTCCATTTCTACTCTGCCCTTGTGAAGCCCCATTTGGAGAACCATGTCTAGGCCTGGAGCCCCTGGCAGGGGAAGGATGCAGAACTGTTGGAGTGGGTCCAGAGGAGGGCCACGAAGATGATCAAAGGGCAGGAGCCCTTCTCCTGTGAAAAAAGGCTAAGGGAGTTGGGCTTGTTTAGCTTGGAGAAGGCTATGGGCAGACCTCATTGCAGCCTTCCAGTACTTGAAGGGAGCTTACAAGCAGGAGGACCAACTTTTTACATGATCCGATAGCAATAGGACAATGGGGAATGGCTTTAAACTAAAAGAGGGGAGATTTAGGTTAGATGTTAGGAATAAATGTTTTATTCAGAGGGTGGTAAGGCACGGGAATTATAGATGTCCCTTCTCTGGAGGCATTCAAGACCAGGTTGGATGGGGCCCTGGGCAGTCTGATCCAATGGTTGGCAACTCTGCCCAAGGCAGGTGGTTTGGAACTAAATGATCTTTAAGGTCCCCTCCAACCTAAGCCATTCTATGATTGCATGATATAGGAATTCCAAGATATTTTTCAGAGCCAGTAAGGGAAGTGATGGAGTGTACCAGATCAGAAATTTAATTTTGCAAGGAGCTGTTGAATATTGTAAACGTCTCAGGAAGCAGAATAACAAATCATGAGTCAAACTGAGATCAATATAGTAATGGAATATTGGATCAAATAATAAGTCCAAATTGCATGTGGTAAAAACATTATTACTGAATGTTCTACCTGCTAGAAACTGTTAATTAGAATTACCTGCTCAGTGTAAAGCCCACGAGTAATATACCTCTGTAAACAATGTGAATTATCTGTAAATAGACAACATGCAACTGGTTTTACCTTTTCCACTGGGGTTACGGACTAACAGGGTCATGTCATATTTGTTTTTTTCCTTTCCCAGCTGAGCAGAAACTGTGTGACTCTTTGTCTGTCACTCTTCATGCTTAAACCTGACACATTTCATGTGCAAGGAGCATGTGGGATATCCTGTACTTTTTCTGACCAGCCATTTTCCATTCCAGCTTTGTTAGCCTTAAAAATGTAATGGTTATAACCAGTCATTTTCTGGAGAAGATTAATTCCAATGCACCATAGATATGTCCAACTTTTTCCCATATGGCTGTTTACAGCATTTGGAAAATTAACAACTTCTTTTGTGATAATACACTGGTATTCTGTGAGCTTCCAGTTTACCTAAAATAACTCAGGTGCTAAATTCTGCATCTGAGACAGCCCTCAGTGCCAGTGCAGTTTGAAGTACTGGACTGAGGGGCTCAACTACAGCACTGGTATAGCTGACTGGTATGCTTGTTTCAGATGCAAATCAAAATATTGTCTCAATCCCGAGTTGTTCCCTTTGCTTTAGAGCACGTTGCATTACTATAATGGCAGAGGTGGGTTTAAGCTTCTGCAATGGAAAACATGCCAAAAGCAAAAGTCAGTCATCAGCCATGAGTCGAAAAGGGGAACAGCCCTGTAGCCCCCTATAGATTATATTCTCAAGTGTTTCACATACCACAATGACCCTGAAAGGCTGTGCTGACTGAACAACTAGCTGAGAATTATACTGAGATGACTTTTAACTGATTGCCAGAGTGCGAGAGCCTATAATTCAAGGGGAGTCACAAGTCTTTAGCATCTCTGAAAGCAAGGTAACATGCAGCTATTTCACATAAGGTGAAGAGGCATTTGACAGAAAGGATGTCTTGAGGATACTCTCTGCACAAGCAAGATATTGGCTAGAGGAGCCACACTGGTGTAATGAAGAGCATTCTCCTGGCAAATGCAGAGTTTATTATGCTTTCCAAATACCAACTTTTCTACTAAGGCTTATTTGTACTAGCAAAAAGCTGAACTATGCTTGGGCTTTTGCAACAACATAAAATTATCACCCCAAGAAGTCACGTCTAACTGATACTAAACTAGCAAGGACTTGTAAAGACACATCTTTAAGGATTCACTGCATCCCTAGTCTTTTAGCAACAGGAACAGAAAAATCACAGGCAAATAGGGAAATGCCTTGAAAAGTCCCCTAGGTCATACAGAAGATCAAACCTCACATTTCTAAGGCAAAGTCCAAAATCCAGGACTTTAAATACCCTCATTTTAGCTTGGAAATTTTGAAGATCATAGACGGAAATTAAAAAGCACTCTTCATAGTACCTTTCCATAAATGAGATCTCTTCTGAGGGATGACTAACTTATCCATACATGGAATTGAGATCTCACTGAAGCCTTCTGGGAGGTTCTTTCTAATTCAGTGGCAGGAGGCCCTTAGGCCTGTTATCATTAAAACACAGTGAGTCACTCAATACACACCTTGCTTCTCAAATTCTTCAAAGAGATTGAGGCTGGTAATGCTTGGGCCAGTGAAGATAATGTAGTTCTTCCCAGAGGCATTCTGACAAAGGCTTTTGGCCACCATACTGTGCAGCTGTGGCTTGTTCTTCAAAGCATCCAGCCCGTCAGCACCACTGCCTTCTTTGAGATGGACATAAATCTTAAAGGAGAAGCAGAGAGAAAAGACAAAAGATTATAATGAATCCAGAGGCAGAGGAAGCAGATGCAATGGCCAGTGCATCAGCTCAAAGAGAGACAATGCAAAGATCAAGGCAGAAGATACTCTTAATAATCTGCAAATATCTAAAGCACAGGTGTTCCAGTCTTTGGACTTACTTGAACCACACTGATTGAAGAGGAACTGTCTTGAGTCATGTACAAAATATATAACATAACTAATGTATATAAATAACAAAACTTCTATTTTTTATTTTTTTATTAAAACATTAATAAAGTGGACAATAAAAAAATAAAACTAGCAGACCGAGCACAAGTGATCTAAAGGCTCTTTTGAGGAGCTGTTATTTTAAAACTACCCTAGTTTAGTTTTTGTAGCTACCAATAAACAGTGTCAGTTTTAGGGCTTCCTATCACTGTTGTGCAGTTGGAAGACTGTTTGCTTGGCAAGAAAAAAATCTGAAGTCATAGAAAAGATTATGTGTTCTACTGAGTCTTTATAGGCTTTACTGCTGCCAGCAAAAGGAGAGTACAGAATCTTCAGTTCCAAAAAGGCTTTACAAGATGACCAAAAGGAAATGGCCCATGAGCTTCCCTGCAGTAATATTCTGATTTATTTCTGTTGGCAGCAGTCACTTAAGCTGCAATACAAGTATATGTGCACCCCCATACATGAGAGGAGCCAGCAGTGTACATACTTAACCAGCCAGAACATCCTAATCAAACTCTCCAGGCGCAGCACTATATCAGAGATCCTTTTAGACCAGGATTTGGAGACAACCCACCAAAACAGACTGAACCAGGAAGCAGAGTACAGTGCAATATGCTGCTTTTAATAATGAAATGTCTAGCTCATTTGCAGCAGGCTGCAGTTGCTTTAGCATGTGTTCTGCTGCTGTGCAACTCACATGGCTACACATTTCAAGAGAGTTGCCACCATCACCTGCAGGTGGACATACATGTTAGAGAGTGGGAACATTTACACTCAGTAATGTGAACAAAGCATAATTAACTGAAGACAGCAGAGTTAGCATACTCACACCAACTGAAGGAGGAGCACTGAAATAAAGCTCCTCCTTCACTCCTATAAATGACCCCTCTAGAAGAGGAGACTTCTGCACTGCTATGTGCTTGCTGCCTCTGCATGACCTTTTCTTTGTACAGAAGCCTTCAACTTTATTTCACTGGAAGTATTTCACAAGTGTAATTTTCACTAAAGTTCAACATCCATCAAAATGAATTCGGTGTCTGACCTTTATCTTGTTGTGAAATTCAAGAGAAATTACTTGCTGGGAAGAGGAATGAGAAGACGCAGACCCCATATTCAGTCATTCAAACAGCACTGTAACTCCAAGCTAATTTCAAAGATTTAAATACACACAAATGCTTATTTTCTGAAAAAGCTGTCCAGGTACATCTATGTGACTTCGGCTCTGAAACATTCATAGATTCACAGAATGGCTTGGGTTGGAAGGAATCCCGAGGACCATCCAGTTCCAAACCCCTGCCACAGTCAGGGCCACCAACCTCCATACCTAGTACTGGACCAGCCTGCCCAGGGCCCCATCCAACCTGACCTTGAACAACTTCAGGAATAGGGCATTCACAGCCTATCTGGGCAGCCTGTTGCAGCTCCTCACCACTCTTTGTGAAGAACTTCCCCCTGAAATCTTTTAGGAATTCCAGAACTTCCCCTCTTCAAATCTTTTAGGAATTTGGGCTGGACTCATTGACCTCTGGAGATCCCTTCCAGCCTCTGCAATTCTGTGATTCTGTGAATTTCAAAAAATTTCAGGAATTTCAGCTTCTCTCTGAAGCTGAAACGTTCTCAGTATTCATGTAGGAAAAAGGAACTGTACTTTGTTTGTTGGAGTGATGTATCCAGAATGAGTGTTTGCTAAACTTGCTTGAGAATGCAGCCATTCAGAATACACAATGTTGCTTTCCTGCATATTTATCTTACTAACATACTCCTTCATAAAAGAAACTTCTTCATAGTGCTCAGAGAATAAAAATTCTTGTATGCTTGCAATAGTGCTCTCCGTAATTTTTTATTATCTCAGTGATCTTAGAGAGGGACAAAATTAAATTAAACAGCTTCTCCTTATTTTAGATGTTGCATCTCCCAGCACTGGTATTCCAGACATAAATTAAGATAATATTCCCTAGCTATTCATTCATCATGAAATAGACCCTGGAAGAGTGTGTTATGTATAAAACCTCTGAGAAATGATACATGATCTGTATTCTGAAGTAAACTATATGCTACAGAACAGAGATGGTGCCAGGATAAACACACACTAATTCCAGAAGTGTAAAGCATATCTTAAAAGAAAGTCTTAACTACACATTATTTACATATAAAAAAAAGTATATGTAAACCCTCTTTTGATAAAGATAGTTCTTAGACGAGGACATAGGCAGAAATATTCATAGATTCTCTGACCATCCTCCATTCACTTCTGAAAGCTGTCAAATTTGTGCTTTCTTCAACGCTAAGCTTAGGACTAATTAATTACAGTAAGTTATTTAGATTATTAAATAGAACTCAAGAGAGCAGCTTAATGGTGGAACACATACAAAGGGCAGATTGTTACAGTTTTACAACAAAGGTTGTGCATGGTATCAAGGTTTATTGGTATCAAAATTAAGATTAGTTAGTAGTGCGCCAGCAGAGAGACCACACAAATAGCCCTTAAAAATCTACAGACAAAGAGGTGAAGAGGACACAAAAAAGTTGCATACAGACTAGTTCTGACCTTGGGTTAGCAGTTGAGCTGAAAACAAAGCAGGCATCCCTAAGCCCAGGAAAGTGCTCTGCACTTTCCCTTCCCTACTGCAGTAAGAACAAACCACCCAAGAGACTCCATGCTCACTTTGTGCTCCCTGCAGAGGCCCATGCGAAGGGATGAGACAATCTGCTGGCACTGGTGGGTGCCCCAACTGCTCCCTTACTATGGGCTGCTTTGGGTCTGAAAGTAGCTTCTCTGAAGAGCATGTCCCCACTTACTCTTTTCATACCTGGATGCTACATATTCCGTATGTTCTGTAAGCAGAGCTAACGTCTGGCACCCTTCCTTTGGGCTTCCCTCTGAATCGAGGTTCCCTGTTATGGTCTCATGGTGATTCTCTTTCCCTTTCACTCTGTTTACTTCCCCATGTCCTTCTCCCAAACACCCACATCTACTGCTGGACATTCCCTCCTCCTCCAATGTTAAAATACATACTCCTTTTTTCTTCTTGGGCACTTCCTTGCATACACAAGCACAGCCTTTGTTCTAGGCACAATTCTTCTTGTTTTGGAAAATCATCATTCAAAGCTTTGCTGTGTTCAGCTCTGCTGGGAGGATGGGTGACGGCAGCATAATGTTGGAAGGCACTAAGGCTGCTGTGAAACTGTGGCTGGGTACAGACAGCTGGCAAAAGCATAGCTTCAAATATCCTTCCAAGTATCTAGGATTCCATATGGCCTTTACTTTTCTTCTCATCTTTCCATCCAGCCTATTTCATTCTATCTCAAATCATACAGACCCTCACCACTGAAGCCCACAGCATTCTCCTCACCTTCTGTAATTAATTACTTGAGCTATTTAACATTTAGCAGTATGCAGACAAAGCACAGAATTGCCAGAAATTGACTGTAGGACCTTCACAGGCACAGTCAGAAGCTGCTGCACCAAAAGTATTTGTTAAACCATTCACCAGAGCTGCTGGTTTGCCTTGGGACAGCATCAGAGCTTTGTGCCCCTTTGATGCGCTTTAACAGGAAAGCATCATCAGAAGTACAGGCTTGACAACTGCTGCTGGACAACAGATGGAGATGTTGGCAGTAACACCCTTTGCTTCTGCAGGTGACAGTTAAAGCAATATCTCTCAAATGTCTGCAGAGATCACATTTACTGTGTAGCTCTTTCTAGTTGATAGTGATCCATTCAGTCTACAACAGCAAATGGAATAATTTCTGCAGATGTAACATCATTTCTCTTAAAGACAAATACAGGCTGAAGATCTTTATCCTGCAGTGATAGAACAGAAAAGGAACTTTCTCTAGCCATCCTTCAGTTCTCTTTATTGGACACTTTTTTTATTACACTTTAAGTTCTGCCATCATTTTATCTAGGGTAGCTCTGCTGCACCAGTTAAGATATTTCTTAATCCAGCATGTATTGTGCATAATCCATATGCACAATACCAGCTCTGCCTTCTCACACCCTTTCACTCATCCCTCAAAATCTCCTCTTTTCTGCCTTTAGTCTCCATGCACCATCCTGATAGTCCTAAAAGCCTGACAATTAGAACAGACCTTCACAGCCACTGGCTCATCTTCCCATCCACTACAACTTCCTTTGGATCACAGAGGCAAAAGTAGGTATCACTTAACACACTTCAATGACAGAGTGACAAGGTATTGATTAAGACTGTGCTTAGCTCTTACAAAACATGAAAAACACTGCAAACTGTTTTGGAAAGTCTATTTATCTACACAAAGGCAGACAGAGAAGACATCAGATTTCTGAGCAGGAGATTCCACATGTTGTCAGATAAGAGACGAATCAATCACCTGTCATTCAGAAACATAAAATGTTTGTTTGGCTACAGAAGAAGGTTGCTACAAAAAGCAGTACTGAGATCTTCCATTCTCTGGAGCAGACATTCATGCTACAAGCCACCAAGACTCTTCTTGCTTTGTGTTGGCAATTTTCTCTATGGAAAAGTCATGTGGAAGGTTCATAAGGTCTTGCTAGAAACAAGGTAAAAACCGATCAGTTAGAGACTAAATCTTCCACTTGTCTGTACACTTGAAAGCACCCTAGAAATTAAAATGTTGGGTATTCTGTTAATATTCATAGTTCAGATCGCAGATTGAAAGCACTTGTATCCCAAATACTTTGCATCCATATATAACTAAAGCACCTCAGGGTATAATTCTCAAATGAAAAAAGTGATATTTGGAAGAAAATGGGGCTAAATAGTAATAAGCAG